GCCCCCACAAGCAGCTCCCAGAAACCTTTGATAAACACACGCCACGCAAATAAAGAAGTAGCAAAACAACCGTTTCCCCACCAAATTTTGGAGTCTTTTCTCCTTCCCTCCCCCCCTCCGCCCCCTGCACCAAGCAACCTCTGCTGGCAAAACCCAAGCAAGAGCCGGGTGCGGCGGCAGCGATGCTGGGCTGTGCTGATAAACCCCCAGCAATCAGCCCAATCATGAGGTTTTTCAGCCTCAGAAACGGCACACGCTGCTTGATAGATTTAATTGAGTCTTAAATAAATAAATAAATAAATAAAATAAATAAAATCAAGCTGTGCTCCAAGCAGCCGGCCGTGCCCGGCAAGGCTGTGGCCATGCTGGGTGATGCCTCCCGGTGGGATTTACCTGCCGGGGGGGATTTCTCTCCCGGCGCACCCCGGTGCCTCCATCGGTGGTCTTGTGCTCGTTTGCACCCACCTTACCTGGGCGTTAATCAGGTCACAACGGATTTCGTCCTCCTTTGATGCTGCTTTTTGCAACCTGAAATGAAAGAGAGGAAAAACAGGGGGGAAAAGAGCAAATTTGATGCTTGTGGGAAGCATCGCGTTGGAGCCAAGGTGGGAATGGTCACGCACTCCTAGAAGACCCCCCCAGGGGTAGCTGTGCGGGAGCTGGCTGGGGGGTCCAGCCTCTGCGGGATGGGTGCAGGATGCGGGCACGGCCATGGCGTGGGCAGAAGCGGCAGGGAAGGCCGTCCTCCCCTACCCTGCTCACGTGCCTCAGTTTCCCCATTGAGCAATGTCACGATTGGGGACGTTTGGTGCCCACCAGGGTGAGAGCACAGCATCGGGGTGGCCCCCCCGAGGGGTCACCTTTTGCCCCAGCCACCACACTCTGCCCGCACCGTGTATGAGGATCGTGGGAAGGGGTGCTCCAACCTCCATCCCCTCCCCACCAGCAGCCTCCCAGTGCTGCGGCCACCCTGCTGTGGGGGTGCTGGGGGGGGGATGACCCACCAGCTGTGCTAGATGGGAGCAGCATCCCCAGAGCCAGCACTAGCTCTTGTGGGGCCAGTCCCAGCCTGGATGGGGCCACTGGGTGCCCAGCAGGCACCAGCCCATGGGGAGCAGATGGAGCTTGCTGGGTGAAGCTCCACTGTGCGACATTGGGGGGGGGGGGGCCCCCCCCCCCCCAAAACCACCCAGCACCAGGGTGCTTGCAATGAGCGTGGCTGGTCCCCAGGGGGGATGGCATCCTCTGCAGGGTCCCCTGTGCCGGCAGAGCCCCCCAGCCCCCCTCCATCACCTCCACCCGCAGCATCTCCCCCAGCTCACCCTGAGGGCCCTGCCTGATGTGGGGGGCACCCAGGGGGGCCACAGAGGAGGATTGCCCCCCTCCCCCCCCCCGTTTGGCCCCTGCAGAGATGTGGTTGCACCGAGGGACCCATCTCCTCCCCGGCAGGGACACTCCATGCACACACACGCAGCCATGCTGCCAAACACCCACCAGCACCCAGAGCCCCCCCCGAGCCCCCACCCTGCAGTGCTCGGGGGCCCTGGGGCAGGGAAGGGTGGTGGAAATACAGCTCCCTCCAAACACCCAACCACCTTCACCTGGGGCACAGGGACTGGCAAAAGCCCCTTCTCCCTCCTGGCACCCCCGGGGTTACC